GGATCCCTAGTAGGAACGCTTGTTTGCATCATGTGCATTTGACTTTGGGTACTCAACACAGAGGTTGGGTCCGTGTAGGACATGTGTACCCAAAAATCAAAAGACCATCCTGATGCATTTTACGTGCTACTTGTACCACTATTTGCTTCAGATTGCATGTTTACCGGCTTCTAGAATAGGGAGAAAAATTGGGAAAAATCAAATTGAGATATGAGAGAGATAATTGCCCGCTTTCGAAAAATCTGGTGTCCAAAATATACCGAAACTCTGCCGAAATTTTGAAAAAAAAAAGAAAGAATAGAAAAAGAAAGAGAAAGAAGGGAAAATTGTTTCAAAATACTTCATGTTTTTAGTTGCGTCAAAACTGACCGAACTACGCGGGTTTGATTCTCACCGAATGTGGGATACGTAGGCAACCCTCATTGGGTCCAGCCCCGCTTTTGCAAAAATAAATCGAAAATTTGAAAATGTCGTCATTGTTGTCATAAATAAAGATGGTGATGCTCTTTTTGGCTAAATAGTCGAACGTCCCGACAGGGCGCTGGAAGGCCATTTTTGCAAGAATAGCCACCGACAGTTTCTTTGCCAATTTTTGGCCACCTAGCAAACACAGCCCTAAAATCTTCCCTTTTGAAGTGCTGTATTTGCAAAAGTGGCCGTGTTTATTTGAATTTTTAATTTTGTGAAATGACCCCTTTTTATCAGCTTTAATAAAATTCACTTTGTTTTAACCAACCACCTTAATCTAAATGTGCAGAATGAGCACGAGTCAAAACTTACCAATGAAGGTTATGACCAAGATTCCGTTGGAACTACACATGTGGTGGGAAGATTTGGGTGAGCAAGGACGAGACATGGTCAACCACTACTTGGGGGGGGGGGGGGCGCTCACCGAATTATTAAAGATCAGGCCTAGGGGCGACATAATAAAAGCATTGGTGACATTTAGGGACCCAGCTCACAACGTTCTACATTTCTCGGATTTCGAACTTACACCTACTTTGGAGGAGATAGCGGGTTATGCTGGGAGTTAAGAGGGTCTTAGACATAAATACCCGGTCGCTCCAAGGGCCGTCACTCCTCACAAATTTCTGGACTTACTAAAAATAAGCAGGCAGGTCCACTATGCAGATTTTGCAAGTGGTTTTTCCACTTTACACTTCATATATCAGCGGTATGGGCATATAGGGGGATTTGAAAACCCGGAGAGCAGAATCTGTAGTAATGGAAACCGACTAAAGTGGGAAGAGCGTAGATGCTTCGCTTTCATGGTGGCATTCTTGGGTTTTCATGTGTTTCCCAGGAAGGATGAGAATATTGATGTACGGGTAGCCGGAGTTGTCAATACATTGATTACCAATGCCAAAAGCACCATTGCACCTATGATAGTATTTGAAATATTCCAAGCTCTCACAGCTTGCAAAGCTGGAGTAGATTTTTTTGAAGGGTGCAATCTGTTACTGCAAATGTGGATGATTGAGTACCTATATCATCGTCCTCGGTACATGAACTACGGATCTATAGGGAAAAGTTTCATAGAGGAGTTTGGTACAAGGGTCGATGGGTTCAAAATGCCGGAAGGGGCCATAGATTGGATATACTGCCTTCGCTCCATGACTGCAGATCAGATAGAATGGACGTTGGGTTAGCTTCCTATTAATGAGATCATATACATGCCTGCCACCGGTCCCCACTTCCTCCTGATGGGTCTCAGAAGTATCCAACCTTATGCCTCATACCGGGTTTTGAGATTGCTAGGAAGATGCCAAATAGCCCCCAAGGACGAAGACCTTAGCATTCATGCAATCGAGATCCACTGTGATGGCCAATTTCATGAAGCAGTGGTTCGCCAGATTTGGAGTGAGTGCCAATATTTGATGGCGAACACCCGAGTACGTGATTTATCCAAAGGTGAAGTCTCGTCCGGTTACCTGGCTTGGTATAAAAGGAGTGTTGAGTTTGGAAGACCAGCTAAAAGACCCACCTCCAAGAATTTGTTGAAGCATCACAAGAACAATGGGAGTGGCTGACGAAAGAAAATGAATACAGGGCCACCATAAGCAAGTTGGAAGGGCAAATCAGAGATCTTAAATTTGATAGTGGTGTGCAAGCCGCTGCAGATGAGGGTGAAAAGAAAAAGTTGGCCCAAAAAAATGAAGTCCTCCGCGCCCAAATCCAGAAGATGAAAATAGCAGTTGAAAACCAAGTAAGAAGCAGAGCAGATGAAAAACTCATAAACGGTCTCAGGAGGAAAGTATGTGAGTATGGGATTGATTTGGAAAAATCCGAAGGTAGTCTGGTAAGAGCCCGGGCCAAGTTGGTGAAGAACGCAGAAGGACGGACGGAGTTTGTTCGGCAATTAAAAGGAAAATATGATAGAGAGGTCGCAAATCTAAAAAAGAAGCTAACTACCCTCGAGAATGAAATGACTAAAGAAGCAAAGAGCTTCAAGGCAGAGAGGGAACATTGTTATGCATTAATGGCCCGAATGGAAGAGGACGTGCAACAATTGCAGGAGCAAAGCCATAATGACGCTCAAGTTCTGGAAGATAGATCTCAACAAATTGGCGCCTACTCTAAGGGAAAGGCATCATTAGAGAGGGGATTAGGGGAATTACTGACTATATCATCATGAAATGTCATGAGTGTGAGGTTATGACTAGATCCACTTTCTTCGCCGCAGTTATGACTTTTGTTCGCCAGATAATGGATGACCTGGATCGTCTCCAACGAGATCTTGCACATAGGCCTGCGGCGAGACCGACTGATGTCCTGCGGGTCTCTGAAGTAGTTTTGGAAGCACTTATGTATTCCTGATTTTTCTTTTCGAGTCTGTATTTCAGTTTCCTTTTCGAGTCTGTTTTGAGTCTGTTTTAGTGTTCCAGTTATTAAGTATGTATGATGGAGTCTTTGTAATAGAGAAAAATTAGAAGTTTTTATTTCAATGAAAATTTGAAAAACCCAAAAATTGTTTATTTCTTTTATTTTATTTCGCATTTATCCCCTGAACTATGTAATGATCTGATTCTCGCGGCGTCGCAATACGTAGGAAATCCTCATCGGATCCGGTCATAGCTATAAATAACTCGAATAAGAGAGAGAATGTTGAAAAGAGGGCACAAAAAGAGAGAGAAAACAATACAAAAGAGAGGAAATAATGAAATTCATAAAGAAAAGAAAAGATTCAAAGATCCGAAAAGGTAACAAAAGCTAGGATGAGACATGCAACCATTGCAAAGCATGTCGAAAAACGTTAGCTGTCTAGGTGCATTGCATTCCCCAACGTGCGATTCCCTATGTGTTAATTGTCTCAAACTAACCGGTTTGTTGTGTATGTTGTTGAGACCAGGTTCTGTTTTTAAGGTGGTTGGTTTTGTGGTAACCTGGCTTTGCACCCTTACTTTACAAGATCCAAGGGAAGTGTCGAAATGTCGTCAGAGAGTCATCTACGAACAATTCCCATCCCAGAAGATAGCCCGTTGTCGGTTATCCCAACGTCAGAGTCGGCAACTACTGAAGAGAATAGGGCACTGCCCCTTCGCATGTTGGAAATGTGGGATGCTTGGTCTAACGGTAGAGAGCCGCCTAGTGCGATACCTGGTTTCCCCGAGTTGATTGCCAGAACAAGTGGAACCTCCAACATCCCTATAAATTACCCGAATAACCCACTCGGATACCCCACCATGTCATCCCATTTTGCCGGAACGCCTTCTGAGGTTCGCCCTCAGGCACTGATTTCGGGAGTGGCTTCTAATATATTTACCGCACCACCAACCTCGGCCACGGCACAACCAACATTGCCCAGGCCAATCTTTGAGCCGTCATCCTTTACTTTCCAAACACCACCATTTCTACCGAACACGGCTCATGCCACTACAAACTCCTACCCTCAACAACCTCGATATGAGTTTACTACGGGACAAGAGAGAACTATAAAAAATCCCGAGCAAGAGGAGATCACTCGGAAAATTAAAAGCATAGAACAAAGTCTCAAGAACATACAAGGCCTGAGTGGCCAGAAGAGTGTATCCTACGCTGACATGTGCATGTTCCCGCATGTTCATCTGCCCATCGGTTTCAAGACCCCCAAATTTGAGAAATATGATGGACATGGGGACCCCATACCTCACCTGAAGAGGTATTGCAATCAGCTGGGGGGAGCGGGCAGAAAAGAAGAGCTCCTAATGGCTTACTTCGGGGAAAGTGAGTCGGAACTGCATCCAGAATGGTATATGGATCAAGACATCTCCTGCTGGCACATATGGGATGACTTGGCCCGAGACTTTGTCCGGCAGTTCCAGTACAATGTGGACATAGCTCCAGATAGAAACTCTTTGTCCAATTTCAAAAAGAAGTCTTCGGAAAGCTTCCGAGAGTATGCTGTCAAGTGGCGCGAAAAAGCTGCCAGGGTGAAACCCCCAATGGATGAGACCGAGATGGTCAGTGTCTTTTTGCAAACCCAAGAGGTTGATTACTTCCAGAACATGATTTCCGCTATGGGCAAGCCATTTGCAGAAGCCATAAAGATCGGGGAAATGGTAGAGAATGGTTTGAAAATGGGTCGCACCCTGAGCCAGTCGGCTATAAGAGCCACCTCTCAAGCAATCCAGAGCGGGTCGGGGGCTGCAGCAAACCGGAAAAAGAAAGAAGAGGTAGCAATGATTGTTTCAAGTTTGAAAAATCCTCGTCAGCCCCGAGGTTACTTTGGTTCCTCTTCCAGAACCCCACAGCATTACCACCCTCACCAAGATGCGGCATATGCCATGACTCCTCATCCTTATGCAGTAATGAACACTCAACCGTATGTCCGGCTGCAACAACATTACAATTAGAACCGACCTCCACTTCCTAGAAATAACCCTCCTTACCAAGCTCCATATAATCCCCATCCCCCACAGAATAATTTTTCATATAACGCCTGTGCCCGTGAACCACCCAAAAAACCAAACTTCACGCCCATCGGTGAACCATATTCCAGCCTCTTCCCAAAGATGGTCCAAATGGGTTTGTTGCAGCCCGTACCCCCAAACAGGAAAAACCTAGAGTCACCCTCCTACTGACCCGGCACTCGATGTGCTTATCATTCAGGGGTAGAAGGGCACGACACTGAAGAGACCCTTAAGAGACCGATTGAGAACCTGATAGAGCAAAAGCGGGTAGTGTTGAGGGATGAGGAGGCCCCCAATGTTACCAATAACCCATTGCCGGCTCACAACAACGGTCCAGTTATTGGGATGATTTGTGAGGACAGGGAATTCGACCCAGCTTTGAAGGCTATCATTGCTATTGCCGATGTTGAAAATAAGCCCAAAGCTGCAGCAAAGCCAGCTAAGGATGACAAGAAAAGTAACTCCACTCCTCAAAGAATAGAAAAGACTGTGGAAGCTAAAACAGGGGCAGTACCTCCTAAAGATGCCGTTCTTTATGTTCCCAGGGCCCCCAGAAAAGAACAGTTCGTGTTGAGTCCCCCCAAAAGGTTCGAGCTAAACAAAGGACCTAAGATGTACGTACCAAAGGGGACTTATGTGGCGCGGGTGCCGATAATTTCGCCCAGGATGAATGAGCCCAAGGTTATTAGCCGCGCACCACAGAAGCCCATGAAGGACCCCATGGCCGTCCCGTGGAACTACAACAAAGCAGTGGTGACATACAAAGGAAAAGAAATCATGGGGGAAGTGAATGAAACAAACCCGTATGGGAAGTACCTCAATTTGGAAGAATTGAACAAGACCAAACAGAAGCGTTTTCCGCTTAAAAAGCCAGTCAGTGCTGAAGAGGCAGAGGAATTCTTCCGAAAGATGAAAACCTCGGAGTACGATCTAATTGACCATCTCCGGATGTCTCCCTCCCAGGTCTCATTTTTGTCCCTACTAATAAGTTCGAATGAGCATCCAAAAGTGTTGTTGAAGACGCTTAATGAAGCATATGTTCCGGTCGAAACCACGGTTGAGCAGCTGGAAAGAATGGCAGAACGATTTTTTGAAGTCAACCGGATCTCATTCAGCCATAATGATTTGCCTTCGGAAGGAGCGGCCCACAACAAAGCTCTTCATTTTACCGTTAAGTGTAAAGGATACTACGTGAAAAGAGTTATGTTGGATGGCGGATCTAGGGTTGATATTTGCCCCCTTTCGACCTTACAAAGAATGGAAATTAGGACTGAAAGGATTAGACCCAACAATGTTTGTGTACGTGCCTTTGACGGCGTCAAGAGGGACACGATAGGGGAGATTGATTTGATCCTAACCATCGGCCCCGTGGATTTTGAAGTGACATTTCAGGTTTTAGACATGGACACCTCCTAGAATTTTCTCCTAGGAAGGCCTTGGATCCATGCTGCAGGAGCCGTATCTTCTACCCTTCACCAGATGGTTAAGTTTGAATAGGAAGACCAAGAAATTGTGGTCCATAGAGAAGATGAGCAATCAATCTATAGGGACCCATCAGTTCCATGTCTGGAGGCTAAGGAATGTAGCGAGCACATAGTCTACCAAGCTTTTGAGATTGTAGTCGCGGATCAATGTGCGAAGGAACCCCCCGTCCTCAACCCTTCTTGTTAAATGCGTCAATCATGGTTACCACTGAAATGATCAAGCATGGCTACAAGCCCGGGAAGGGGCTCAGGGTATCTTTGCAAGGTATCACGGAGCCCATCACTCTAACTGCCAGTGAGAAATTCTTCGGTGTGGGTTTCCAAGCCACAGAAGCTGATTTGACATGGGCTAATAAGCGAAAGAAGAATGGGTGGGTCCTGCCTCAGCCAGTCCCACATCTCTCCAAAATGTTTGTCAAGCCTAGATACATAGAGGAAGAAGATGAGGCCTTCACTGACGAGGAAATGGAGGACATTTGTGGAGCGATGAGGCAGATGTTATATGAGGCTCATATGGTCCAGCCGGGTGAAGGCTCGAGCACCGCTGAGGTGCAATATGTGGGGCCGCATGGCAGGCTTCAAAATTGGAAGGCTACTCCCTTCCCAGTTAGGAGGGAATCCTGGTAGTTTCAGTCTTGCCATGTTTTTTTTCTACATTTCGAGTTATTCCAGGGTGTAACTCGAATGTTTTTAGTTTATTGTCTCTGAAATTCCAATATAAACCCTCCTATCTTTTAAATTCAATGAAATGAAATCAACATTTCCCGGCATAACCCGTGGACCTTTCCGACATAACCCGATAACCTTCTCGGCATAACCTGAGGACCTTTTCCGGCATAACCCGATGACTTCCCCGGCATAACCCGAGGACCTTTCCGGCATAACCCGATGACTTTCCCAGCATAACCCGTGGACCTTTCCGGCATAACCCGATGACTTTCTGTCACGACCCAAAATCTAACCATGGTCGTGATGGCACCTATCGTGTTACAAGGCAAGCCTATTCCCAAAATTACTACTAATATGATTATAAGAATTTAATAAAATATTTTCAATAATTTAATTCCTGATAAAATAAACCAACTCTAAATATAAATAATATAAAATACGGAAACGAGTCCCAAACATCGGGGTGTCACTAAGTCATGAGCATCTAAAACTATAAAGTAAGATATATAACTATCTAAAAGAAGAAATGACAAGAGGAGTAACAAGGTCCTGCGGACGCTGGCAGCTACCTTGCAGTCTCCAATTAAGGACGGCCTGAACTCAACGAACTCCGCGCTCTAACTCACCTGGATCTGCACATAAAGTGCAGGGTGTAGTATGAGTACAACCACCTCAGTAGTAACAGAAATAACTAAGGAACTGAGCAATAGTGACGAGCTAAGCAAAACAGTCCAATTATTTATTTTCATAATTTACAATAAACATGAATAAACAAGTAAATTCCATAAAACCAACAAATACCACAAAGAAGTTAACAGGTAAATGCAGCAGCAAAAGTAAATACAACCTCAAAGCAATGTCACTTCATCACTCAACACTCGCACTCAGCACTGAACACTCAATACACTCAACACTCTGCGCTCACTAGGGGGTTTGTACAGACTCCGGAGGGGCACCCAAAGCCCAAGCGCTTAACACGGATAACTCACGTGCTACCATATCAGTACCTGGATCCGCACGGTCAACTCACGTGCTACGCGGACAACTCACGCGCTATGGTATCAATACCTGGACCCGCACGGTCAGCTCACGTGCTACGCGGACAGCTCACGTGCTATGGTATTAACATCCTCACAACCAGGCCCTCAGCCTTACTCAATCATTTACCTCACTAGCCTCACCATCATCAACAAATAAGGGCACACAACCCATATCAAGTATCACAGCATATTAGCAAATAATAGAGACTGAGGTAAATATGCATAATAATTTCTATGACTAAGTAAAAATGATGTGAGCATGAATAAAGCCTAAGCATGATCTCTAATATGAAGGAAAACAAGTTCAACAACAAGTAAACGCATAACCACAGATAATAGCTATTAGGCCTCACAGCCTCACGGGACGGACCAAGTCTCAATCCCTGGCAGTGCACACCCACACGCCCGTCACCTAGCGTGGTTATCACCACCAAACAATCACAGGATATTACTTTCTCCGGGTTTATACCCTCAAAGCCAGAGTTAAAACTGTTACTTACCTCAACAGCGTAAAATCCTACTCCGAGATGTCCTCGTCCCTCGACTCGGTCTCCAAAAGCTTCAAATCTAACCATAATCAGAATACTACTATCAATATAGTCTAAAGAATCGAATTACACGATAAAACCACATAAACATGCCAAAAATCCGAAATCGGCCAAAACTCGGCTCCCAGGCCCACATCTCGGAATTAGTCAAAAATGGCAGAATAATAATCCTCGTCCTCTCCCGAGCCTANCCATGAAGATTTATAACATGGGAGCTTAACAGTACTGCAACAACCTATTAGCATGGTCCCTCAAATCCTCACTTAAAACTCTCCAAAACTCAAACCCTAACTCCCTCAATTCACTTTGAAATCATCAATCAAATCCCAAAAACGAAGATGGATTCATGAAATACAATCAAAATCGAGTATAGAACACTTACCCCAATCCATATGGTGAAAATCGCCCCCAAAATCGCCAAATCTGAGCTCCCCAACTCAAAATATGACCGAATGAACAAACCCTAGCTTTATATATTTTTCTACCAGCTATTCTGCCTCGTTTCTCGATCAAACGATCCCGAAACTCGTATTTTATGCCTGCAATGGATTTCTTGTGAAATTATAGTCATGGTAGGCTTTTGAATCACTCAATTTGTCCTTATAACGAAGGAGATATGTAGGTTTTTAATATTTTAGCAAATTAGTGACGGATTATTAAATACGCTGTCAGTGGCAATTTCGTAATTAATCTGAAAAATCTGACAACCTAATTCTTAGTAAAATGTACCACAAAATCCTACATATGAATGTCCAAATTTCGACGATTCTTTTTAGCTACAGGTCCATAATTATAATACGGATCTAATGCTTTAATCAAAAAAGAAATCGGAGCTCATTTGTTCAATATGATATCATTTATGCTTTGAAGTAACGGCTCGAACAAAAAAGAAAAACGAGCGCAACACAACCAACCTATTTAGACTCATCGAGGCCCTCGGGACTTCAACCAACATCTCGACAAAGTTAGTAATCACTTACCCAACTTAGTCAAACCTCGAAACACCCAAAACCACACAACCAAAATACCAAATCAACCCGGAATTCACGCCTAAAGAACTTCCTAAAACTTCCAACTTTTTGCCTAATTCAAGCCTAGTTACCACGGACCTCCAAATTATATTTCGGACACCACTCCTAAAGCTCTCTAAAATCACCCAAGGAACTAATCGAATCATAAAAATCAATTCATATTGTTTTACTCATATAAGTCAACTTCCGGTTGACTTTTCTACTTAGCTTTCTAAATTAAGAGACTAAGTGTTTCATTTCACTCCAAAAAACTATTCCGAACCCAACTAGCAACTCGATACAACTCAACACAGGCTGAACAACAATATAAAAAGCATTAGATGGGGGAATTGTTGGCTGATAAACTCTCGAACGACGATCGGGTCGTTACATCCTCCCCCTCTTAAACAAATTGTTCGTCCTTCGAACGAGTCCTAAAACAATCACCTGAAATCACACATGATTACCACATAATTCACAACACTCCACAACGATTGTATTTCTAATTCATAGCAGCTGCCCCAAAAGAACCAAAAGGCTGGTAATAAACCTCTTATCAGACAGAGCTTATTATCAATCACAAATATCAAACACCCATTAGTCCTTGCTACATCTCAAGTAAACCCTTTCTCATCACATTCGATCACAATCCGAACACAATCTCGCAGTCAAATCATTCTCGCAACACAAGCCATCAAATCACAAATCCCACTAATAGGGAACCAACGGGCCATATAAGCACATGCTCACACAATCAAAAATTCGGTAACTCCAGCTCACAATCATAAAACCCGGCCTCAAGTCCTCCAGACTTCCCACATCAACACACACTCTCGCACCTCATCCAGGGAATCACAATCCGTCGTGCACACTGATACCGAGAGCGCTCATGTGCGCATACGAATGATTGAAGGAATTCAAGAGTTTACACTTCAAAGCCTGAATTTAATACCGCACGATAAGAATTTCAATAGAAGGTGAAGTTTTCCTAAAAGTTCAGCTAGCTTCGAAGATAAAGTTAAGACGTCTCCGTACGATCCCAAGATTCTACTTAAAACGCGCTTCATGACTCGTGAGACCTACGTAACCTAGTCTCTGATTACCACCTTGTCACTGACACAAAGATCTATACCATGGTCGTGATGGCGCCTATCGTTGGTTACACAAGGCAAGGCCGTTTCCCGAAATGTACTACTATCTGTGATTATTAAGATATTTTAATAAAACATTTCCAATAATTTATCCTTGATAAACTAAACCAATGCTAACATCATAAATAATATAAAATACGAAACGAGTCCCCACACATTGGGGTGTCACTAAGTCATGAGCATCTAAAACTATAAACTAAGATTATAACTCTCTTAAACAGAATAGAGAATTACAAGAGGAGTAACAAGGTCCTGCGGGAACGCTGGCAGCTCTATCACTTGCAGGTCTCCAATTTAAGGCCGGACCTGAGAAACTCATACAAATCCGCGCTTAACTCACCTGGATCTGCACATGAAAGTGAAGGGTGTAGGGTATGTAGAACCACCTAGTATCAAGTAGTAACAAAAATAACTAAGGAATGAGCAGTTAGTGACGAAGCTAAGCAAAAACAGTCCAATTATTTATTTTCATAATTACAACAAACATGATAAACAAGTAAATTCTAAAACAACA